CATTTATATTTTATATCAAAATGTATTAATAACGTAATTATTAATTTATAACTTGTTATTCATAGTATACTGTTTGCTTGTGACAAATCACCAATTATGTTCAATTTCTCAACGAGTTTCCAAGGAGAATCCAGAGGCAAAGGAAAAAAAGCAGAATGGCGATTATTCAACGCCAAGGACTTTCAATCTCTGATGTATCCTTGCATCATTTTGTGTCGTATCTTTGGAATATTTCCATATAAAATCAATGATACGAGTTTTAAAATTTCAAAACCACACTTCATTCTGATGATTGTCATGGTCTGCTCTTGTAGCCTTTATTCATTGATAACGCTGTACAATTCTTCCATTTTTGAAAAAATTGATATGGTAATTTTACCCCAGACTCTTGTGCATAACTGTGTCTTAGTGATTGGCATTTTCATAATAATCGTCACCGTTATTCTAACGGTTCCACGAATGCGCTTGCTTCAGACTATAATGAAGATTTCTTCAAGATTGCCCTTGGAATCATATGAGAAGTTATCTAAACTGATCCACGCTAAAGATATCATTGGTTTCTTTTATTCAGTTTACATTATATTAATGCTCATATTCGCATTGCCAATGCATCACTTGTTTGAAATATACTTCATTGTAGTGATATTTCAAATGGATATGATGTACATGAATTGTGTTTGTGTATTAAAAGCATGTTTTATAAGAATCAACGACAATCTGATAAGCATGAGAAGATTTATTGCAAATAATGAGTCAAGCGTCCATAGATTGAATTATCACAATCATAGAAATCCGTTTCTGATCATGGAACTCAAGGCTTTAAAAATACAACATTTGACGATCAGTGATACAGTACAGACATTAAACGTAATCTTCAGTTTACAGCTTCTTGCTACAGTAGCCATGACCTTCTTTACCATCACTATCTGTTTATATTACTACATACTAGCATCGAAATTTTTTTTAGTGAACAAGAATTTTTTTGAGATAGTATTATCTCATATGTATTTTCTACTATACATTGCATACTTTCTTATAAGAGTACTGTTGATTGTATGGGCCTGCGAAACAGGTAAACATCAAGCTCAACAAATTGGCACTTCTATTCATGATGTATTTAATGTGACCACCGATGAGAAAATCAAAGATGAGGTAGTATATTGGAATATCAAATTTTTACATTTTTTAAAAAATGTATCAAGTATCTTATGTATCCAATCTTTAATAAACCAAATTATATTCGTAATTATATTTTTGAATTTTATGTTTGACAATTTTGTGATTGCAGTTACAAATATTTTCTTTACAAATACTTCATTGCGACAATACATTTTCTGCGAAAGGTTTTTCTATAGACGCGAAGCTGCTCGCTGCGGTGAGTAATATGTCGTACGCTTTTATTAATTAACAATTGTAATTAAAATTAACAGGATGTGCATTTTTTCTTTTCTTAAATTTGTTTACAGATAGCGAGTAACGTTAGCGTATACGTAACAATATTATTTCAATTTAGAAATATATCAGATTCTTGCGTATTAGGAAAGACGGCAAACAATACAAGAGAAATTTAATTAAAAGAAAATATATAACAAAAAAACAAACGAGTTTGTAAATATTAAAAACAATTGATTTTTATGTATTAAATTTTATTTATTTATATCGATGTGAGTAATAATCGCTTAATATTTTCTATTTATACACATACATGTACATATACATGTAAATACAAAGATGTTAATAGAAATCTTGTTTTAAATTTATATGAATACTGAATCGAACATAAAATCATAATGATAACAATCTTTAATAAAAAAAAATTTAATATTCCATTTGCTTAAGTATACTGTATAATAAATTGTTCTTCATAAAGAAAATAGAGAAAAAGCGAGAAAAATTTCGAATTGGACAATCATCATTAATAGATTTCCACATTTAGTGCAATATTACGTAGTCCATGTACAATATTCTACTGTATGTGCGCAAATAATATATTAGTTGTATATTAAGACAATTTCACATAAGTGCTTTTAGCACCATGGTTACTTCATAACTAACAAATGTCTTTTCCAGTATTCTGCTTCACGTAATCCAATTGACAGTTTTCAACTGAAGCTCATTGTGAGTGTATATAATACGAAAATCCACGGCACATTTTACACACTTGATACAAAGAGACAACTTATACATTATGCATAGAAAAATATTTGCGTTTATATCAGTACTACAGTGTATAACATTAATAACATTTAAGATATGTATTATGATATAGATGGTTAAGGATCCTAGAAATTACTGTTAATCGTGCTTGGTTTGAAAAATCCAAGGCAAAATGTGGAAAAGATGGTGGCTGTTACATGCTACGGACTTTCAATCCTTAATGTATCCTTGTTTCACTATTGGTCGCATTCTCGGAATGTTTCCCTACAAAATTAACGCTTCGACTTTCGACGCTTCAAAACCGTGGTACATCTTATCAACCATAGTTATTTGCATTTATGGCACTTATAACATAACACTCATTCACGCTCTTATTTATAAAGTTAATTTGGGAGACATGACCAAAAATCTTGAGGCTATCTTTTACTATGCGTGTAGTGGTTTCATCATGATTGTTACGCATATCTTGAGCGTTGCGCGAATGCGCTTGCTACAGACTATTTTGAAGATCTCTTCGAAATTACCCTCAAAGTCGTATGAAAAGCTGTCCAGGTTTATTCATGCTAAGGATATCTTGGGTACCATATTTGTGATCTTGCAAATGTGTATATATATTCCTAAAATAGAGGAGTTTAATTTTTTGAGTGTTCTGGCCAGAGTATTCGCAGCATATTGCAACCTGCTTGTATTTCAGACAAATATGTTATATATAAATTGTGTTTATGTATTAAAGGCTTGTTTCAAGAATATTAATGATAATCTGATGCATATACAAAGGCTTATGGTAAATGATACAAGACCATTATGTGTCTCCATATTGATGGGCAATATAAAGGGAATTTTGCTAATAGAACTTAAGGCCCTGAAAAAGCAACATCTGATGCTTAGTAACGCAGTGCAAATGATGAACATAGTCTTCAGTTTACAACTTCTTGCTACTATAGTTATGATCTTTTCTATTACGACTTTTGAATTGTACTTTTATATAGTGCGCTGGCAAGATGGCATACTCATTATTAGTTTTAATAATCCGTTTTTTGACAAATTTTTAATAACCATGATACATCACTTTACACAAATGATACTACTTGTATGGATCTGCGAGACCGGAAAGAATCAAGCTCAACAGATTCGTATCATTATTCACGATCTACTTAACAACACTAATGATAAACAAACCAAAGATGAGGTAATAAAGGTTGTAATTTCACTTGTATATATAATTTATTTATATATTTTTCTGATAATGTATTTACATCAATTTTTTAATATCAAATTTGCCGATTATAATTGCGTTTTTCATCATTCTTGCATTTATTAATTTGACATCTAACTTTGCAGTTACATCTGTTTTCTTTACAATTATTGCATTGTAACAATACTTTTTCGGCAAAAGGTTTCAATATAGATGCAACGCTTTTCGCTGCTGTAAGTAATGAAATTATTTAGTTTAATTAATAATCCATATTTTTTATACTTTTTATTATTGATTTCAGTTTATGGGTGCCATCTCGACATATACGTTGATATTGATACAATTCTTGATTACGTCACATTCTTGCGACAAAAAGTCAATAATTAATAAGTAATCCAATTATATACAATAAAAGAGATAATCAAAGAATAGAATACGATTTATTTATATATTTATGTACTTCCTTACATAAGAAGAAAATATTATATAAATGAAGCTTCAAAAATTTTTATTATTTTCATATTATGAAAATAATATGTTATATCATATTCAGAAGAAAAGAAGTCTGTTTAATTTTTTTAATGCAGTTCTTCTGTATGTATAATGCTTGATATCTTTGCGAGATTAAATTTAATACTTTTCGAATTTTATATCAAGTTATCTTTGATTCAGAATAAATCAACAACTGTATTAATTCTTCATATAAATTGACATTTGTACGATTAAGTAAATAAAAATGCAATATACTAAATTAAGAATAAATTATCATTAATAATTGTAATGTGATAATTATGTTAGCTATTTTGCACTTCTCTAAACAGAATGTAAAAGTAATATAAAAAGAATGAAATAAAATGTTTCATAAATTTATACTGATTATAAAAGATAAACAATAGTAGAGTGATAAGTTATGTAACTGTTGCTGGATTTTGTAATTGAAATTCAAAGTGAGGAGTTACAAAGTCACGTATGCGAAGTGAAAAATGTATGAAGAAGGTTATAAAAATTGAAAATTGTAAGAAAAAAAGAAAACTTTACAAAAAAATGACGAAGGCTTCATTAAGCACTACAAGATCTAAAGAATTTTTAAAGCTTACTATTATCTCAGATTATGATATCAGAATCGAGAAAACAACACAAATTCTTGTAATAAGAATTGTATATAAATAGAAGAAACATGTTTCAATAAAATAACACTTTACAATCAATTGATTTAGAAAATGTATTAAAAATTTTCGAAGAGAAGTTAAATCACACACTCATTTCTAAATAATATTAATTTGAGAATATATCACAGCTGTGACCTTAGTTCATTTCATCTTTGGTTATGCATAATTAATTTTTACATAATTTTTTATTAATTAACAAAACAATAAAAGAATTTCCGATATATTTTACAAGTTGGTTCTATCAATTATAAGCTTTATCGAGACATACAATATTTCCATATTAAAATATTTTGGAAAAATTTTTTATTATGTATTATCTCTAACGTCACGTCAATTTGAGATAGTAACAGTAAAAGAATAGGAACTTCAATAAATTAAAAATAAAAAAATTTTTTTTACAGAGAGAAAAGTTCTAATAAATACTAATAATGTTAACTTCAATCTTAAAAAAATATCTTCCTATTTACTTATAAATTGTTTGATAAACAATCAATAACTACATCCTTTACATATTTATAAACTGTTTACGTATTTATAAATTTCGTTATAATTATTTATCAAAATAATAAAGTATATACATTTCTGAATAATATCAAATCATATAATCATGTAAATAAATAATTTATTTTTATTTTGCTTAACTTATCTATGTTCTTATATATATCATCTTTTATCAAAGATAATATAAATATATTTAAATTGGATTAAATATTTAACTTCTAAAAATAGATCATACGACATATTGCCTATACTGTTAGCAAAATGAGCTTTATATATTAATATAATAATTCGTTTAAGTTTTTCAACGACGTAACGCAATTAGCTCAACATTATAATAACATCGATTGCACATCTGATAATATACTTCTTTATTTTTATTGATTTTCTGGATAGAAGAGCTATAACGATTGATATTAGTTTAGTAATACAAATATAAACAAACTTATATGATTATTATTTAAATTGTATATATTTTTTTTCATTAATAAAACTTTTAATTGTTACAAGTAACTTTTCATTTTAAAGCAGTTTATATACCCATATACTATTTTATTGTGATATAATAAAATACCTTATATATGGAATGTTGAAAAATATGGACTCTGAAAATAGATAGTTATTAGCAAATAAGTAATTATAATAAAAGCATTTTTAAAAGCGATTCTCATGATAATGTCGTTTGCTGTTTCATGTATGCACTTATTACTCGCGAGCCGTACATCGCATCAATTACATAATTTACATATTATTCCCTTATAAAGAAATTAAAATTGCTGATCGAATACTGATCGAAAGATGCCATGGTTACATTATGTCAAACAAAGTATCTTTTTAATTTGACGTAGAATCTCACGTGATCTCATCACGTGATTTTTCGGAATCTCACCCACCAGTAGCATGTGATGAAGAGACCACGTGAGATCACGTGATGGAATTACGTGAGATTCCATACCACAAAGAAGGGAGAATTATGCCCACGAATTACCAATTATATTTGTAGTTTTGGACTTAGATTCGTCGAGTCAACATTGACAACGAGAATTTTATATCAATTTACGTATGTAGAAGAACAAAAGTAGCGAAAAGATTGTGTTATATTAAATTAAAAAAGAAGCTTTATTGTCACATTCACATTTATACCAAAATGTATTAATAACGTAATTATTAATTTATAAATTGTTGTTCGTAGTATAATATATCGTTTGCTTGTGACAAATTACCGATTATGTTCAATTTGTCATCGAGTTTTCAAGGAGGAACCAGAAGAAAAGAAAGAAAAACAGAATGGCGAATGTTCCACGCCAAGGACTTCCGATCCCTGATGCATCCTTGCTTTACTTTGTGCCGTATCTGTGGAATATTTCCGTATAAAATCAATGCTACGAGTTTTGAAATTTCAAAACCATACCTCATTCTGTTGATTGTCACTATCTGCTCTTGCTGCCTTTGTTCATTGATAATGCAGCAAAATTTCTTTATTTCCGATGATTATATGATAATTGTACTTTACAATCTTATGCGTATCTGTACCTTAGTGTTTGGCAATTTCATAATAATCGTCACGTTCATTCTAACGGTTCCACGAATGAGCTTGCTTCAGACTATAATGAAGATTTCTTCAAGATTGCCCTTGGAATCATATGAGAAGTTATCTAAACTGATCCACGCTAAAGATATCATTGGTTTCTTTTATTCAGTTTACATCATATTAACGCTTATTATATTCAAATCGCCAATAAATCGTTTGTTAGAAATATACATCATTATAGCGATATTTCAGATGGATATGCTGTACATGAATTGTGTTTGTGTATTAAAAGCATGTTTTACAAGCATCAATGACAATCTGATTAGTATGAGAATTTTCATTGCAAATAATGAGTCAAGCGTTCATAGATTGAATTATCACAACCATAGAAATCCGTTTCTGATTATGGAACTTAAGGCTTTAAAAAAGCAACATTTGACGATCAGTGATGCAGTACAGATGTTAAACATAGTCTTCAGTTTACAGCTTCTTGGTTCAGTAGCCATAATTTTATTTACCATCACTATCTGTATATACTTACACATATTAGTAATATATCATGTAGTGAACACGAATTTTTTGATAATTGTATTATATCACGCGCTTTTTCTACTGTACTTGGGATACTTTTTCATAAAAATACTATTGATAGTATGGGCCTGCGAGACGGGTAGAGCTCAAGCTCAACAAATCAGCATTTCCATTCATGATATATTTAACGTTACCACCGATGAGAAAATCAAAGATGAGGTATACTGAAATATCAAATTTTTACATTTCTTTTAAATTGTATTAGAGTATCTCGTATACCTAATTTTTGTTAAACCAAATTGTATTCATAATTATATTTTTCAATCTTAAATTTAACGGTTTGATTGCAGTTACAAATATTTTCTTTACAACTACTTCATTGTGATAATACATTTTCTGCAAAATGTTTTACTATAGACGCGAAGCTTCTTGCTGCGGTGAGTAATATATTACACGCTTTTGTTAATTAACAATTGTAAATAGTAATTAAAATTAACAAAATGTGCACTCCTTTTCTTAATTTTGCTTTTAGATAGTAAGTAGCGTCAGCGTGTACCTATTAATAATACTTCAATTCATGAATATATCACATTCTTGCGTGGAAAAGACAGCAAACAGTACAGGAAAAATCAGTTTCATTTCAATCAGTAATTGAAAAAAGATATATAATAAAGTAAAGATGTGATTTTATATGAAGAATTGATATTTATATATTAAATTTTATTTATTTATGCTGATGTGAATAGTGATCGTTTAACTTTTTCCATTTATATACATATATGTATATATTTATAAAGGTACAAAAATGTTAATAAAAATCTTGTGTAAAATTTATATGAACATTGAATATAAAATAAAATTTTAATGATAAAAATCATTAATAATAAGAACAAAAATTTTGATGTTCCATTTGCTTAAATATACTGTATAATAAATTGTTTTTCATAAAGAAAATAGAAAGAAAGTAAGAGAAAATTTTAAATTAGACAATCATCATTAATAGATTTCCACATTTGGTGCAATATTACGCAGTCCATGTACAATATTCTACTGTATGTGCGCAAATAATATATTAGTTGTATATTAAGACAAGTTCATATAAGTGCTTTTAGCACCACGGTTACTTTATAACTAACAAATGTCTTTTTCAGTATTCTGCTTCACGTAATACTGTTGACAGTTTTAAACTGAAACTCATCGCAAGTATACATATGTAAGACGAAAAGCCCACGTCACATTCTAAACACCTGATACAAACAGATTAACTTATACATTACGCATAGAAAAACATTTGTATTATTGTAATATTAATATTATAGTGCATAACATTAATAATACTAAGATATGTATTATGATATAGTCGGTTAATATCCTAGAAATTTCTGTTAATCGTACTTGATTTGAAAAACCCAAGAATATATCAAAGACAAAATATGGAAAAGATGGTGGCTGTTACATGCCACGGACTTTCAATCCTTAATCCTTGTTTCACTATTGGTCGCATTCTCAGAATGTTTCCCTACAAAATCAATGCTTCAACTTTTGAGACTTCAAAACTGTATTACATCAACATGTAGTTATCTACATTTGCGTTTATGACATAACGCTCATTCACACTCTTATTTATAAAGTTAATTTGGGAGACATGACCAAAAATCTTGAGGCTATCTTTTACTATGCGTGTAGTGGTTTCATCATGATTGTTACGCATATCTTGAGCGTTGCGCGAATGCGCTTGCTACAGACTATTTTGAAGATCTCTTCGAAATTACCCTCAAAGTCGTATGAAAAGCTGTCCAGGTTTATTCATGCTAAGGATATCTTGGGTACCATATTTGTGATCTTGCAAATGTGTATATATATTCCTAAAATAGAGGAGTTTAATTTTTTGAGTGTTCTGGCCAGAGTATTCGCAGCATATTGCAACCTGCTTGTATTTCAGACAAATATGTTATATATAAATTGTGTTTATGTATTAAAGGCTTGTTTCAAGAATATTAATGATAATCTGATGCATATACAAAGGCTTATGGTAAATGATACAAGACCATTATGTGTCTCCATATTGATGGGCAATATAAAGGGAATTTTGCTAATAGAACTTAAGGCCCTGAAAAAGCAACATCTGATGCTTAGTAACGCAGTGCAAATGATGAACATAGTCTTCAGTTTACAACTTCTTGCTACTATAGTTATGATCTTTTCTATTACGACTTTTGAATTGTACTTTTATATAGTGCGCTGGCAAGATGGCATACTCATTATTAGTTTTAATAATCCGTTTTTTGACAAATTTTTAATGACCATAACACATCACTTTATACAAATGATGCTACTTGTATGGATCTGCGAGACCGGAAAGAATCAAGCTCAAAAGATTCGTACCACTATTCACGATCTACTTAACAACACCAGCGATAAACAAATCAAAGACGAGGTAATTAGATTGTAATTTTATTTGTATATATTTAATTTTTTTATGTAGAATTTATTTTTCTAGAAATGTATTTACGTCAATGTATTTACGTCAATGTATGTTGTTAAACATTATATTTTCCGAGTTATTATAACGCAAGAATAAAGATGTAAAATTACGTTTATCAATTTTATATCTTCATTCTTGCGTTTATTACTTTAAAATCTAACATT